ATGATGGTAAGTATGATGGTCAGTATTATGGTAAGTATGATGGTCAGTTTGATGGTAAGTATGATGGAAAGTATGATGGGAAGTATGATGGTAAATATTATGGTACATATGATGGTAAGTATGGTAAGTCTGATGGCCAGTATTATGGCAAGTATGATGGCAAGTATGACGGCAAGTACGATGGAAAGTATGATGGCAAGTATGATGGCAAGTATGATGGCAAGTATGATGGAAAGTATGATGGTAAGTATGATGGAAAGTACGATGGCAAGTACGATGCCAAGTATGATGGAAAGTATGATGGCAAGCATGATGGCAAGTATTAGATTAACGACTATGACAAGTATGGCGAGAAGGATGAGAGGAAGGGTTATTACTACACGCACTATGGCGACAAGCAGGATTGAAGGGGATATGGCAAGAAGTGGGCTGAGAAGGGGAATGCTGATCAGCAGCACAACAGCCAGCAGGACGATCAAAAGAAGTATGGTGACAAGAGCTATGACGAGAAGTACAAGCATGAAATTGCGGTGATTAAGGGTATGAGGGTAAGAAATTTGAAGTGTGACAAGAGGACGCAGAAGAGCAACAATATTTAGAGTGAAAAGTCTGATTGCATTAACGCATTAAGCGAGGCTTTATTTTCACGGAGGATGCAAAGTGTACGAGAGACGGCACGGCAATGACATCAGGATGATGGCCAAGCTTTTTTCTTGCAGCTTTTACATGGTAGTGGAGCAGGGATCATTGGTAAAGTCACCAGATGGAAACTGGTCTAAACAGACGAATAAGAGTTTGATTTGCTCATTCCTTTTGGTGCAGGGACAGCAGGAAAGGGTAATTTTGAATAACTGTCCAAAGTAAGCATTTCAAAAATATGGATTCTGTTTCGCTTCATCTATTCTGGCAACTACCAGTGAGTGTGGGTGGTTTCTACCTTCTCATGAAACAGATTCATTGCAGTCAAACTTATGGCTTTAGCTGTGCTTCGTGATGTAACTGATGTTGTTCTTCTTGGCGGCAAGTTGACTAGAAAACCTTATGACAGGGTTTATCTGAGTACAGTTCACAAGGAGACCAGTCAAATTATGTCACGGACCAGATTTTGAATTGTGCTTTTCGTTTTGAAACCAGCACGACCCCACCAAGCTGGCTGCAGGGGCCAGGGGCCTGTGTTCATGCCCCATTCGGGGACTGACTCTGGGAGAGGCTCGTTAATGTGCTTCAATTCTTCTTGATAATTTATAACTGGGCACTGTTGAAAGCCTAGCACTCGCTCGTAAACAACCTTGTGATGATGTATGCTTCGACTCCTGAGTTATCGTCCTTTTTGTTTTGTTGCCGAACTTGCTGCCATAAATAAAACAAATGACCTTCCGTAAAGGAAGTAATCAAGGTGCCCACCAAGGTCTCTCAGCCATAATGGCAAGAAGCGTCAGAGTGAGTACAATCTGTAATTTCTTGACTTGTCTTTGGAATAGGAGGCGGACGGATGCTTCCCAGAATGGATATGGACTATTATGGAGGCAGGGCCACAAGGACCTGCTTAAAACTAAAGAAAAGAAATAACTACGCCCAGGTGTGGTGTGGAGTTTCAAATTCGCAGGAATAACAGTACACTGCAAGTTCGGGCCGAGAGCAGTTTGAAACTGCAAAAAAAACACGTACCTTTGCAGTTCTACCCAGTTGGAAGCTTGTAATTGGCAAAATCAGGCGGTGTTGTTGCTTTTTCTTTTTTTTCTTTTTTTTTTTTTTTTTTTTTTTTTTTTTTTTTTTTTTTTTTTTTTCTACGCCCGCGGCTGGGCCACGATGAAGACGCACGTGGCCGTATTTCGTGTGTAGGGCATGGGACTCATCACTGTCCCACAAGGGACAGAGATGTCTAGGCCATGCTTGTGGCTGGGCCACTCCCGGGATGTCTAGGCCACACCCGTGGCTGGGCCCCGGCCGAGATGTCTAGGCCACACTCGTGACTGGGCCACGACCGAGATGTCTCTGGGCCATGGCCGAGATGTCTAGGCCGTGCCCATGGCTGGGCTGCAGCCGAGATATTTATGCCACACCCACGGGAAATGACTAATACTGGTACCGGTACCTTCCGTTCTGGCGAATTGTTAAACTGGCAGGCCGTCGAAGTCATCATTTACTGTTTTTTTTGCAGTTTCGAGCTGCTGTCGGCCCAAATTTGCAGTGCACTGTTATTTCTGCGAATTCGGAGCTCTGCGCCGCTCACAGGCGCAGTTGTCTCAAAAAAAAAAGGCCTTGTATGAGAAAGGAGGGTGGCAAAGGCAAGCTGATGGTTTCCACTCTCCTCAGCCCAGCCGCGTAGGGGCCAAAATGCTCACCATCATTTGGTTATGGAGAGACACTTGCCCCATTCATCTCATGCTATCCCATCCTTTGCCATAGCGATATCGGTAGCACTGGCAGCCTTTTTTTCTTTCCCCCTAAACCAACAGGCCTTATGGGCTGGCTCCGTATCCATTTGGGGAGTATCAGTCTGGTTTCTTCTCCACAGGACACAGGTATGATTCCTTCCTCCAAAGGACTTGTGGACAGCACTGAGAGCTCCATGTCCTGGACGATTGACTGTCTGCTAGCCTTTCCTTCTTGGGTTCCTCTCACTCCTGGTCTTGCCAGGTTTGCTTGGCATGAAGAACCTATAGAAGATGCTGACGTGACAATGCTCCTTCTGCTTGTCCTTACAGTGTTCAGGATGCGTTCCCTTCATAGGTTCCACTCTGTCTTGTCTTTATGGACGGCCGGATCTGCATGATAAATGTAATACTGGTCAGCCAACCAGCTTGAAGTATTGCCCTCTCATTACTTCCTTACGGCCACATTGGATGGTCCTCATCCCGGATTTGTCTACTGTTGTGTTGCTTGAAGCGTCTGAATGGTACCGGTCTGTCCGATGAAGCTGGAGGCTTGATTGTGGCCACCCTTGCCGTTGGCTAGCGACATCCCGCTGGAGCTTCACCTCTCTAAGGCTCTCTTTTCTTTTCTTTTTCGAGAATGTTCATGTATCATCAGGGATCGGAACCAAGGCTGGTTACCTCACAATTCTACCCGTACTGGGGCCACTGCCCAGTTCGGTTGATGCTTTAAACAGGGGCCAGCATCCCATTACGATTGACTTCCCAGAATTCCTGAAAATTTGAGAAAAACAACAGTAACTTTTGATCAGTAAGTCTGACTCTTAAGCCTGCTCGGAGGGCACCTAAAGTAGTGTTGAAAGCAGCAATCTTTGTAATTGCAGAAGGGTTTCAGGTGGTGTTGTTGGCTCTGGGCGCCACCAGAGGATTAAACGCCCGGATTCTTCAACTGATGATCTTGGCAGTGCTGACTGTAGTGTACGGGGGCCTCCCTACCCTCGTGATGACCTTCAACATTCCGGACTGATCATGCTGGTGCTGGTGATATTACATACAAGCCATTATCCAGGCATCCATTAACCACTGGGGGCCACCAGGGGTCTGACGGTCCTTCCTCAACCAGGGCAGGGGGCGCTGATTTAATTGCTGCAAGATCGCCCATCTTCCGGGCTCAACAGGTTGGCCGTGAATGTAAAGGCTTGTGATTGGGGATAGTAGCCGCCAAGAATTGCTGTCCACTCTCAGGGCCAACAACTCCCTTCCACAGTCCACCTCCATATCCTGTCCAACCATCTCCAGGTGAGGACCACACCTGGACATTGTAGGAAGATGTGCTCGACGGTTTCTAGGATTTCTGGGAAGGGAAGGCTTGCAGACATCACTTACACTACAGGACGGAGACGCCTTTCTGCTCAAGCCTTGCGAGTTCGATCAGTCAATCATTTGTTAGCAGAAAATGGTGTGCAATCCGCCCAAATGCAAAGATGAGGTTTTGGCAGGATTTTTGAACCAACTTATAGGCTTAAGGGGGTTCCTGTCTATGTTAAGTTGTGAGGTTCCTGTCTATGTTAAGTTGTTTCGCCCACCTCTCATTGATCACGTCTCTTAGGTGCTTCATCATTTGCAGCATTCTGTATGTGTTTTCCACCTCCACGCTATGCAGGTCTTTACTTTTCCTGGGTATAGTGAGTGGCCCGTCTTGTGATGCCCATTCCATTACTCTGGGTTTAGTGGTTCATATATTGAGGACTCTGGGCAGTACACCGTCTGTTCCTCACCTTCCCCCAGCACCGGGACCCTGAACACTCTTCCTTTCTCCACCCATTTGAATGGTTGGGCCCCAGTGATTGTGAAATATTCCACTAGCATGTCATCCGGCCCGTCCTCATGAATTCTGCCAACCCTCCCAGTTTCTCCATGCAGAGCTATGCAGTCATCTTCAATCAGCATTGGCCCTTTTTTTCTGAGAATCGTGAAGCGCGCCAGGGGAATTGAGAAGATCATGAGTTCCTCCAGCCGTTCGTCAATTCGGTGATAGTATCGGACGGTGTGCAGTAGCTGCTGTGCTGTTTTCCGGTTCTTCTCCTCCTTTTTTTTTTTTTTTTTTTTTTTTTTTTTGGAAGAACAACCCGACCAGATGCTAGGTGTGCTGATACGAGCAGACACACCTATTGGTGGGGAGCAGCACCTGCTGGAAATCGGGTCCAGCGTCCCTTAGATACATCTTTGTAATGCAGTGTATGTTGGGCATATGGCCATTAGAGTTCTTGCTCCAGAGCATCCTTCTTTCCCTCGGGGCTGCATATGTTACCCTCCCAATTTGTATAGCTCCTATTTCCTGCTGGCCTGGCCCCACCCAGGATGGTGTTCTCCTTGCACTTATGTCTACACTACTCCCGTTGGTAGTCTCTGAACTCCCATCCCCGGTGTGTGCAACCCCCCATTATTTTGTAGTCGTACCGAAGCCTGTTTCTGAATCACTTTGTAGCCGTTAAACCTTGTACCCTCTTCTAACCCCGTGCTTGTCACAGTAGTGAACCTTTAATCCCTTGACAACCGGGAAGCAGTGAGGAAGGACAAGAGTCATTTGTCAAGGACCCTGCTATGTGTGATGTGTGTGTCCTCTCACACAGCGATAACAGCAGCCCCCCAATTATTTATAGATACAGCATTCATTCTTGAGAGATCTTTTAAACCCCAGACTCCTTGAATCCTTTTCCTTTCTTAGAATCCATAAGTGCCACATACTGATCCTTGTACCCGTAGTCCTAATGCCTGCTCCTCCTGGCCTGTTGCAGCAATGAGTTGCCGCAGCAGTGTTGGTGTCTTCCCCGTTGTTATTTCCCGTTGTTCAGTCGATCCAGTCAACACAGCGATGACAGCAGCCCCCCATTATTTACAGATAGCCTGTTGCAGCAAGGCATGAGTTGTCGCTCCAATGTTGGTGTCTTCACTGTTGTTGTTGCCTGTTGTCCAGTCAATCCAGTCAATACAGCAGTCGCATTTTTGTCGTCTTGTCAATGAAGTCCATTGCGGGCCGCACAGCTACAGGTCAAATGGTCGGGAGGGTGAGAGCGAGCGGTGGGGCAGGTGAGAGGGGGGGGAGTGGGGGCAGTAGGGGCGGTGAACTGGATGGGTGGATGGATGCATCGGGTATGACCCTGCTGGCGGGGGGGGCAGGGGGKGACTGGGCAGGCGGCACCGGGCTTGGGAGAAGGACGAAGTTGGGTTGGAGGTACGGGACTTGGAAGTCACTAAAGGGCTTCCTCTGCCAACCGAATTCGGATATCCTCCATGGTTTCCATATGATGTGAAGAGCGGTATCAAGTTCCGAGAACAATTTGTTAGGGTCCTGCCAAATTTGCATGTAGGAGTCTCGAATGACTTCCTTGGTGGGGGGGTCTTTCTCCTCAAGGAAATCAAATTTCATGGACTTCCATGCTTCCTGGGTTTTGGTCCTGATTAGCTCTTCGATTGCTTGTTGCGCCTGCAATAAGCCAAATTGGTGGTCCTTTCTTTCACATGAGCATCTGGCTCTCCAGGCTAACGTGAGGAGATGCAGCCTTGTGTATGAGAACAGGTTGGTCGCGAATGGGGACCAGCTGGCCAACAGGTGGCAGTTCTCTCCGAGGAGCAGGAGGCCAAGGTCCCAGTGTATGTGATACCCAGCGAGGGAGTGAAAGGCCGCATCCCGCCATTGCCATAGCTGGGTGACAATTGGGCACGCCAGAAGACAATGTTCGAGGGTTGCCCTAGCCGGCGGGCGAGTGCTCTCACAGTATGCGCAGATGGGGGATAGTTTCCCTTGTTGTTCCAGGTTAGTTCTAGAGACGATCCGATCGGGGGTGGGAAGGCAGCGATGGAGGATCTGCCACTGTAGAGATTTGTGGTTTGTGGGCATGATCCTCGCATATCTGGACAAGTCAAAGGACTGTGATAACCTAGGGTCCAGTGGCGAATCTCGAGCCCATCTGTTCTCCAACGTTTGGTTGATCAACTGGGATTGTTGTGACGTTCGGTATCCTCCTTTTACTGTATAATAGTTATAGAAAGAGGAGGCATACATGCAGCCGTAGTTTTCCACTAGACTGCTAGCTTTGTACTTTTGCAGTCTAACGGTCCTACCGTTTGGAAGCTTGTGGATCAACACCTTCCTATCCCAATCAAATTGAGGTTGAGCAACCTCAAGGTAGTGCATGCCTAGTAACATATCGAAGGGCAGTTCGTCGCTGACAAGGAATGAGATTTTGTGTCTCACTTCCCCTCCTCCATAAGAGAAGGAACAGACTACGTCCTTGACATAGTCTTTAACTACCATTTGGTGCTTGTTGGCTAGCGTAGAAGCTACAGTTCTGCTAAGCCGCTACGCTTGGTCCCCTAAGCGCAGTCTGTCCACACAAGCACGACTGATGAAATTCCGTGTAGAGCCTATATCTGTGAAGGCACCCACTGCGGCCACCTACATTGACCTCTACCACAAAATGTTCACCTTTAGGACCTCTACTGATCATCGTCGAAGAGTCTCTGGGGTCCTTCCCTGACCACTGATACTGTAACTCTTCTAAGGACTCAGACACATCTCTCGAACAGAGCGTCGATGGGTATGGATGTGTCTGCGGGGCGATGTTTGGGTCACTAGCCTTGGCCAACGCCTGATGTGGGGAAGGTGACCACTTCAATGCGAGTAAGAGCGGCTAACACTCTTACTGGCCCGAAGTGTTTCCCTGCGAAGTGCTCGCAGAAGCACTGCCAGGGTTCGAGGATAAGCCCATTACTGTTGGAGAATCTACCCTCGTGGTGACCTTCTTGCCTCAACAAGTTCTTGACGTGTGGCCATAGTTGCCACAGTTCATGCATGTGCCCCTGGCAACTCGGTCCCTCCATACCTCATAATCTAAACCAAGTTTTACCCATTCGGGTGTTCCTTGGTCGCCTGACCCGTAGACCAGACTACCTTCTTCTTCCCGGTCCCCCTAGCTTTTTCTTTGATAGGAGCCACAACCCCGCCATCCAAAGTCTCGCTGGCCCAATCATGCTCTGTCTCGTCCGCAAGGTCTGGGAAGTCGTCAATTTTTGTCGCCTGGCCATCATGATCGACGAACATTAACTGACCCTTCTTCTTCCAGTCTTGGGGAAGTTTCTTCCTCCTACCATCTCCCCGACTTTGATGCGCGGACCCAAGCTTTGCCTCTATATCCAAGGCTTTCTTGCTAAAAGTAGCAAAGCTATGTCTGTCTATGTATGCCTCATCCACCAGCTTAGTTCCAACTTCTGAGGGTAGACATCTCAAGTAGTCTGTGAGGAGTACTTGTGGGTCAACACACACACCAGGTACTACGATCAGACGTTCTACGGTGTCTATGACTTCGTGTGCATTCTTGTACCTTTTGGCACAAAGATTGTTAATCTCGTCGGTGACCTTCTGAGCCCCTTGGGGATCATGCCACCTGTTGTACACACTCCGCACAAACTCTTCCAATGTCTGGGCCTGAGTCGAGTCGTCGAAGTTCTGACCATAACCCTGCTGCTGCACTACCCCGTTTAACCAACGTGTGGCCGATCCCTCTAAAAAGGAGGCAGCAACTATAACCTCCTGCTCTGGCCTTGTGAGCTTGTGCCTCACATAAGTAGGCACAGTCCTCACCCAGGTATCCAGGTCCCCGTCCTTCTTCCTGTCGACAGAGAAGGGCTTAGGACTCAACATCCACTGCATAGGCTGGATCTGCCCAGGTGATCGCTGCAGTGGCTGCATAGCCACTGAGACAGGTTGCTGCACGCTCACTTGGGCGTGTCCTGGCGATGGGACTGTAGTTACCACCGTCGTGGATTCAGAAGAAGCTCTAAGGACCGGACCACTAACTACTGGTTGTCCACCTGAGAAAGTTATGCCATACATAGGCGAGATGGTTTGCCCTATCGGCAACGGCATCACTCAAGGACCAACAACCGAAGTGGGGACTACAATGAACTGGGGCTGCCTCATAACTGGGCAAGGCCCCTGAAGTGCAGCCAAAATTCGTTTCTGGCCTGCCACTAGTTCAGCCAGCAATTCCTGCTAAACTACCTGCGTTTCTGCCACACAAAGTAGCGAATTGTGCAGCGACCGATCAACAGGATTTAACGTAGCATCATCTAGTTCTTCTAGTCCTCTTAGCTCCTCCAACCGAGTGCCTAGTCTGACTTTTCTCAATCTAGCCCTTTCTCTTCTCTCTTCTACTTCTCTCAGTTGCCACGACAACTCATGATGAAGAGCTTTCGTTTGGAGGATCTCATAATCCTCCGGAGTGAGCGGGGGCTGCTGGTTGACTTGCACGCCAACAGTCTGACTTATGGAGCCTTGAGTACTCTGACTGACTCCTGACGAAGTGGCCTGTGAAGAGGCATGTGACATGGTAGAGGAGGTAGCCATGGTCACACCTGTGCTAGCTATTCTCCTAGCCCTGGCGCTGGCCTCAGCGTCCCTTGTCCTCCGCAATGCCGCCCTCTCCCTAGCTTCCCTTCGCAGCCGCCTTTCCGCTCTTGGACCTAACTCTAGGAAGGTCAAAGGACGGCTGAGAGCAGTTCTGCGAGTAACCCTAAGATCTTCCACTAACTCCTCACTACTAACAACTTCACTCACGAGTTATAGTGGAGTGTGATCTAAACTAGAATCCACACTGAATCCTACCTTAGCCTGACACCCAACTGAGTAAGAATAATCAGTGTGTCTCGGTCAGCCTGGAGAAAATAGTCAAGCAGTAACCAATAATAAGTGTCTGATCCTACAGGGAATACTAAATCTATTTTTAGATTACTATGAGACAGTTTGCATGCAGCAAAGAATGTGCTACTCTATCTGTATCTGTCTGTCAGTTGTTAGTCGAGTCTGTAACAACTAAATAACCAAAAAAAATAATAATATTCCCTGCAGATATGCATGCTAGATGGCAGTTTAATCTAATTGTTGTCACAACGAACAGTTACCGGAATCCCCCCTGTCTCCCTGTATCCTTCTTGAGTTGTCACTTTGTGCCAACGCCCTGAGCATCTGGTTGAGCGGCGTGTCTGAAGGTGTGCAATCCAGCCCACCCCTGTGCCCCAAGTCTATGTCGAACCTGCCAGCCCCTGCACCTTATTTATCCTCGCATGCAACGAGCCTTACACCCGGTTTGATCTGGCTGATCAAGAGGCAGTTTACGGACAGCCCCCAAGGTCCTCATGAATTATTTAACGTCGCAGATAGGACGACGATCACAACCAGAGTCAACACCGAGTCCCCGCCAAAAAATTTAAAGACGGTCTGGTAAACGTCTGTCCAAAGGGCTGGCATGCCCTACGGGACCTCTAATGCACAGCAGCTGAACCAAGGGCTTGCCCCCAAGCATGCGTGGACTAGTCCCAACGGGTTGGCATGGTGACCGTGACCGGAGTGCTTCGTCCAGGGCCCTTCAGAGGCATCGCCCGTCTCCCACCAGCTTGCTGCCCAGGAAGAATGTCGACTCTCAAGGTTGAGCGCTCGCAACACCTCACATTGAGAGGACTCTCAAGACAGAACTCACTTCCTCACGGTAAAAAGTAATGGAGAAGGTAGATAAGGAAGAGAGCAACGTACCCCATAATGCTGCCCCCAACCACAGATTTCTCACCGGCAACCTGATGTGCATTTATGATGACCGGTCTTTGCCTCGACACAACCAACAACAGAATGCAGTTCCACCTCAACTTAAATGCCACATCAGCGAGCTCTCATCATCCAGCGTACACCCCTAATGTCACCACATAGCTTCCTGGCGCGCCCACGCGACCTTGGGCCGCCTTACATCCAACGCCCAAGCCGTATCACTGCCCCACATTTCATGCGAAGCACCAAACAGCTATTGCGAGGAATCAATGAAGCGCAGTTCGAACCAGCTCCGATACCAAATTGTTAGGAAAATGAGCAGTAGCAAGATGACAATAACCAGATTGCTCAATCACATGAAGGCGAGATAGTATCACAGTGTCCAAAAAGCAGAAATGCACCAATATAACACCAATGAAGATTCGTAACACTGAAAACCAATGTCAATGGGAGCTTGCTCTCGCCACCACCAACATGAGTGTCCAAGCCCTATCTCCCTACTTGGAGCTCGGCGCCCAGCCTACTTCCTACACAGCTACTCTCTGCCTACTAATTGACAATGCAACTATTGATGTCAGCAGCCTACGAAGTACTTGAAGATGCAGACCATCGCCAATACCAGGTCTGTGCCCTCACATCATCCTCATCATCATCCTTCTCTCTCTCCCCTGTCTTACTCCCACGTCTTCCTTCTGTACACCTGAAGACCACCCCTACGCCTCACTGTAGTCCAAGCCGAACCAGCTATGGAGGCTGGGCTATGGCGCTGCCCTCAGCAGCGCCCTGCTCCCTGCATGACTGCACGCGCTAGCACCTTGCCTCTCAGCGCTAGCAGCAGCCCACGAGCGTCCGCTCCAGCAGCACGGCCGCTAGCATGCGAGTGCTTGAATGAGGCTCCCGATGGTGAGCTCTTTCCTATATGGAAAGAGCCTGCCTGCCTTCGCAGCCTGGTTGGACTGGGCCTGGGCTCAGAAGCTTCCGGTAGGCCCCAGGATGTTGCGCTTGTGTTGCAGCTACTGGGCCTTTTTCGGTTGGGCCTCCCAACTGTCAGTGTATGAGGCTGCGATTCTCGCCCTGGGCCTGCATTCTTGGAAAGGCCCAGAAGGTCGTGGAATATCTTTGTTGCTCGGCCTGTGTTTCCCTTCAAACAACTGGCACGTCACAACTGCCTGGACCCCAAATATGAAATTGACAGCTGATGGCCCCTCGTGATTTGGTTAGGCCCGCCTTCACTTAGGGCGGGCGCAGATGCAACAGGGGCCCCTTAGGCTTGCCAAGGACCCAAATCCTCGCAGTATTTTCTTTGAAAAAAAAAAGAAAACACCTCATTAAGGAAATTCGTGGGGCGTTGCCACAGGCTCATTTGAAATTCCGTGGATTTTTTTAATTTGATTATTTGCCACGTATTTCATTCATCGAAATTGATTATTTGACACGTAATAAAACTCAGTGCTGCGCAATTTGGCTTTTTTTTTTTTTTAAATACATTTCGCTTCCATTGATTGGATCAAAACCCAAAAGTCTGCTATGGTGTGCTACCAATGACCACCTTTTCTAGGTTTTTTTTTTTTTTTTTTTTTGACAAAACATCTGTGGCAGCCTGCTATTGGAGGTGATACGAATATCCTCCAATAGCAAGCCCTAGTTTATAGATGGTTCCAATCTATTGGTGGGGAGCATCACCTGCTGGACACCGGGTCCAGCGTCCCACTAACAACATCAGAGAAAGTATACCTGGCAGAACAACATTGATTGCCCTCTCATGAGGGGATTGATTGTCCGCCCAATTAACAGACAGGTCACCGATGGGCTCCTCCAGGAGTTTCTTAGTTGCTTCCATGTCTTTGGTTTGTTCCCTGCTCCAGGAATTAAAGTTACTAAACCGATTGCTTCACACATTTATTATTTTTCGTGTTCTATTTTTCACGTTTCTTTCTTTTAGGCAATAAAATAGAAGTTATCGCTTTGTTGGCACTTTGGGTGAGATCAAGTGCAGTAGAAAGATAAATATTCCGAGCAGTTTCATGAAAAAAAATGTGAAAGAAATACGGCGTGCCCCTGTTGTTCACTCGTATCTATAACGCACTGAAATAGTAAAACGGTCCATTTTTTTTTTGTATGTGATAGAAAAACAGGTGTCATGATGCATAAAAGCTACCGGTCTGCAGAATCCGGATTGATGGACTCGTGTTCTTCGTTTGATGAAAACATTGGCAAGGGAGGTAGTCCATCATGGATGGTAGCAACAAATTGAGTTTTTCTTCGAATCTAGATATGATGCAGTTGAAGAGTATGGTTAGAAGGGCACCGAAGAAAGGTGGCCCTCATGCCGACTATTTTCTCCAGGACGAGAAAATGAGCAAAGCACCATGTTGGCACAAATTTGTTCATGTTTGTTCACCTGACGGGTCGACAGTGAAGGTGAACAACAGTGGGTATGTTGCGCGTAAAAAGTGTTTCGCTGTGTATGCCTTCACTACTTCGAATGGGACAAGTTCCTTGAATAACCACAAGTGCAAGGTAGAGGAGAAAGATTCATGAGCCATGCGAGTCTTTGCAACAACTATGCAACCCTCAACTATACAAAAAAAGAAAGTCGCTAGGGCAGTAGTATTGATGTGTTGCATCTGCGACCGTTTTCCATAGTTTCTGATTCTGGTTTTCAAATTGTCGAGCATACCATTCTTGATGTTGGTATAAGTTCAAATAGAGGGATGAAGGCAGAAAGTTTGTTGCCAGTTGCAAACACTGTTTAAAAAACAGGTGATAGGAATTGCGGCAGACTTGAAGGTCGTGGTAAAGGCGTTGGTAGTGGACCATTTTGCTGATCGTGCGTGGACTGGGTTCACTGTAGATTTGTGGACAAACTCGTTGAAAAAAAATTCCTTTATGTCCGTTACAATTCACTTCATGGATAAGACTTTTAGACTCCATGATAGGACTCTTCAAATCAAGGTTTTCCACAATGAGTCACATACGGTCCTTCTTCTCAAGAAAATGTTTCAAAAGTGTCTTGCTGAGTTTGGTTGTGTAGAGCAGGAGTTGTGTCGTGTCTGCTCAGACATTGGATCTAACATGTTTGTTCTGAAGGTATCAGAAGTTTGTACACGTGGCATCCATGCGCCGATCATTGCAACCATCCTCACAACTGTGCTATCCAAAGCTACGTCGGCAAAATCTGGGCCTTTCTACATGTATTATGACAAAGCTCCTCAAGTTTATGATGCCATTGACTGTTGCAAGGATGTTGTGCGTTTTTTCAAGCAAGCAAATCTGCAAAACAGTCAAAAAACAACTTTAAAGCAAGAACATGCAACGAGGTGGAATTCTCTTCAATGTTTGTTGAATAGCATTATTGACAATTACGATGACGTGAACACTATTCTCGCAAAACGATCTGGAAACAGACAAATTGTAGTTCAATTTGCGAGGATCGATCGGGAACTTTTGGTTGAGTTGTCACGTTTTCTCGCTCGGTTTCAGGAAGCCATATTAAAACTGGAGAAGTTTTTGGAACCTACGCTGCACCTTGTTGCCTTTGAGCGTCATGCTTTGTTGGAGCATTGTGACATTCATCTGCAAGCCCGCACTGGCATTGACGCCAACGGTAAGGAACTCGCTTATCCACCTGATTCTGAGCAAATTATAGAAATCAAGAAGTTAATAAAAGAGGTACTCGTCGAGAAATGGCAGTTGGAGGACTCACATGTTGTGGCTGCACTTTTGGACCCTCGACAAAAAGACCGGCTAGAGATTTTTGAGGTTCCGTTTGTCCATGTGAAAAGAGGTAAGTCACGCCTGAAGGAGATAATGTAGCACGTTGGTGCAGGGGTCTTTGAGGGGTTGGATGTTTCCAAAACTGATGAATTTGAAGTCGCCCCACATCGCCCACGGAAGAGATGCAAGGCAATGCCTGGGGTCACAACCTTGGACAGTTCAGGAAAACGAAAAATAAGATTTTTCCAGTTCGGACATCACTTCTACATTGGGCGAACAAATTGAGAAAGAAATGCTATTGTACTTCAGTTTGAAACTAACCAAGGATGAGAGGAAAACTTTTAGTATCTTGCCTTGGTGGAAGGTGAAGGACTCTGCAGTCAAAACTGTAGAGAAGCAGCTCCTGCTGCCCTTTTTGTCGATCATGGCCCGTGCAGCCAGCTCAATTTTGTGTGCCAGCCTCCAACTCCAAGAGCGAGTGCAACTTCTCCGACGCGGGAAACACAATCACGAAGAAAAGGAATGACCTCACTCCTTCAATTGTGAACGACGTTCTTTTTGTGAGATCAAACAAAGATTTGATCAGTAATTTGTAGATGTTGCAGCTCCAAAAATTGTTGGTTTGGGCCGTTGGTTAGCTAGCAGTCATTTGTTTCTTTAATCAAGTTTGATGTCTGTTAGCAAGCGTTACATAGTAGGTACTCCGTGCGGATTTGAAAGGTTTATTTTTCGGTAGGTCACACTATCGCCGATACTGCTTGTGCATACAAGATGGAATTTTTTTTTGGATGACTGAAAAATGTGAAGGACACTTAAAAAGTATTGGAGTGTAATGCTATGTCTCGGTGGGTACACTACTACATTGGGTAGGTACAACCGGGGCAAGGGTGGGTAAAGTGGGGCATAGGTGGACATGGGTGGGTTACGGGTGGGCATGGGTGTGCCTGGGCGGGCCACGGGTGGATGTTGTGTGGATCCTGGGTGGGTTGGATGCGGTTGACCATTTTTTCACTCCCAGCCGGGTCGGGCGCAGGTGGGAAAATTTCAAAAACACATTTCTGGGTTGGATGCAGTTTGAAAATTGTGTGAAGACCATATCCAGTTTGGATCTGGTTTCATTTTTTTTTTAAAAGCAAATCTGGTCCGGATCTGGTTCGTAAAAAATGTAGTTTTGCGAGTTGTGGGATGCAACCACCAAACCTTGGGTTGACCTCCAGATCACAGAAAACGATTGGAGGATTAGGCTCAAGAAAGGGTTATGCTTGCATTGCTAGAAACCAAACCACAAAATACGAGAGAGAGAGAGAGAGAGAGAGAGAGAGAGAGAGAGAGAGAGAGAGAGAGAGAGAGAGAGAGAGAGAGAGAGAGAGAGAGAGAGAG